ACAGCATCACAAAGGAACTTTCATACAAAAGAGGAAACTTACATTCCGTTCAGGGACACTGCTGTTAAAGATATTATAACCTTTGATTTTACCAGTGATAACCTGACACTGCTACTCTACCTCGAGACCTACACTCTTCATGAGCCAAACACAGCTTGTTAATATCGATACTCGCAAGTCTCTATCCAGACCGGTGTTCAGTGCCCGTAGATCATGCCCTCGATCCATACGACTATATCTCCTTCTCACATAGCTCACCTTGCCTCGCTCATCATCTCATTCACTCTCCGATCTCTTCTCACAGTCCCACATCGCACCCTCCGACTCCTCCTTCCGTCTGCTCTCTCCGCGTCAAATATCATCTTTCCGCTTCTTCTTGCTCCTCTCTCTCCCCCTTCCTTCACTTCGTCCTTCCTCTTCCTTTCCTTCCTCTTCGGCTCCTGCCACCAGCCTTTCACCTACCCACTCCCTCCCCTCACCCTCTCACTTCGCATCCCCCTTCCCCTCCTGCCCTCTTCCTCTCTCCTCTAGCTCTTCGTCACTCTCTCTCTCCTTCCTTCCCTTCCTCCTTCCGCTCCCTCTCCGTCCCATCTCCATCCCTCCCCCTTTCCCTCCCTCCTCCCCTCTCTCTCTCTCCTCTCTCTCCCGTTTTCCTCCATTTCCTGATTTATTCTAGGGGGGGGTCAGGCTACATTATACTGAACTATGGGTACGATATCCAGTCAAGACACAAGACTGATTTTTGCAATATACTCTCTCCTACTCCCCCTTCCCCCCCGCCCTCTCTCTCCCTTACGATTTAATATGCCCACGTAGAATATGGTGTGATTTGGAACATCGACATTAATAATGACAGTGCAAATAACAACAGAAAGAAACGCGTGAACATTATGACAAAATCAAAAACTAGGATTGGTATCCCGTGGAGGATGACTTGACGCGAATGACTGGAACAGATGATATCTAAGATAATCAAGTCACCGTTGAATAGATCTATGATGATAGTGATACTTGATACCATGTCGTCCATAAAACGATTATGATCCAATCTACGGTACCAGATATAGGGAACAGAAAATCACCATGTCAGTATTGTTTTTATAATTCATGAACACTGTGATGGTGCAATGAGATTATTTGTTACTGTCTGTTAGTCTATCATTGGCGCTTGTGCAGTTGTTTTTATCAATCCATATGATCGATTGAATTATCACCGACTATTACTTATTGTTTGTTGATGTTATATTAGGTGTTATTGTTGTTTATTATCATCTAATCATTATAATCATCAGCCATTACTATCATTACTGATTATTCTTGATTTATCCATTATCTATTTCTTATGCCTGCTTGTTGTTGTTACTACCTGGTATTCATATCAATCATTATGTCCCTTCGCCCCGTCCCCTCTCCCACCTATATCCCTCCCTACATCCCCTCTTCCCCTCACCCTATCCTCCTCACCTCCCTCCCCTCCCCCTCCAACCTCCCACCCTCCCACTCCCTTCTCCCCTCGCTCCTTCCCTCTCCGCCTCACATCGCCCTCCCTCCCTTTCCCTCACCCTACCTCCCTTCCCCTCCTCCCCACCCCTTCTCCCCCCCTATGTTCCTCTCCACTCAGCCTCCTCCCTCTACCCCCCTGCCTCCCCCTCCCCCTATTCCTCGCCTCACTTCTCCCTCACCTTCCTCCCTTTCCCCTTCCCCACCCTATTCCTCCCTCCCTCACCTCCTCTCCTCTCCGCTTCCCCCACCCGTATTCCCTTCCCTCACCTTCCTTCCTCTCCCCTTTCCCCCCTACCCTAATCCCTCCCTCCCTCCTTCCTTACTATTCCCTCACTCCCTCGCGCTCCTCCCTCTTCCCCTCTCCCCCCACACATTCCCTCCCTCCCTCACCCTCCCCCACTCTATTCCCTCCCTCCCTCCCTCACCTCCTCCCTCCCACCATCTAATGGCATCTAACCTAGGCTGAGACACACCACTGTCTTCAAAGCTGTTTCATTATTCTGCTCAACCCAACAAACCAACGAACAAAATAGCTGACCAATTAATACTTCCTTGGTGGAGGTAAAAACAATTATTATCATTATTGTCATTATCATTATTGTTAGCATTATCATTATGATCATTATCATTGTCAATACCACTATCTTTACTATGATTATTATCATTTATATAATAATGATGATAGTAATAGTTATTAGTATTAGTATTGGTATCATTAGCAGTAGTAGTAGTATTATCATTATCATCTTCATTATTATTATCATTAATTTCATGGTCTTTGGTATCATCTTTATCATTATTGTTATTTGTTTTTATTATTATATCAATACTATTTTTCCTTATCACTATTTCTTATTAATACTATTATTATTATTGTCATGCTATTATTATCATTATCGTTATTATATTATCATTATTTTCATCTTATCACTATTATGTTATCGTCATTATTACTACTGCTATCATTTTTATTGTTATTATATTATTGCTGTTATCATTATTATTATTATCATTATCATTAATATAAGTATTATTATGAGTATTGTTTTTTATTATCAAATTATCATTATCATTATTACAATTGTCATCGTAATTATTTATCATCATTACATTATATTATTTTATCTCATTACAATTTTCATCGTTATTTATTTTCATTATCTTACCCATTATCATTATCATCATTACTATATATTATTATTATTTATCTCACGTTACAATTGTCATCGTTATCATTATTTTCATACCTATCATTACCATTATCATTATCATCATTACTATTATTATTATATTATCTCACGTTTAGCCAAGGTGGATTCGCAACGCCTTGGAAGAAAGCCTAAATAAAGTCTGATATGTTGGTAAAAAAAAAAAAATTATGCCAAATTTCCAAAAATACAGAAATAGGATGCATTATGTATGTTGGCTCAGTGAATGATTTGGCAGCTAAGAATGCCCGACGGATGACTACATAGCCTTAATAGATAAATAGATTTGCTTGATAATTTAGGTTATAATCATAATTAACAACATAGCAGTGCACAGTATTTCTCGGTTCACTCTGTTTAAATTTGATTGAGCTATCTATCCCTTTTTGACTCGTAAGATTTCGTATTTATATTTGGTTTTAATAAGCAATTAATGATCCTTATGTTGCCATGTGTGTTTTTAACCTAAAATTATAGGCCTATGTTCTGAAGGGACTTAGCCGCCCGTAAATATTTTATTACGACCATTGTCACTATCTTCTTTGTGGATATAGTTATCATTCTTTCATCTTAATCATACAAGATTACATTTTATTTACGCTAAATCATAGATTAACGGTTATAGCCCCTTGCCCTTGAAGTATTATCATTTCTAAAATACATAAAAGCTTTCAATCTGAAATCTTTGATAGGATATATTCAATACATCGAGTTGCTATTATTTCATCGAGTTTACTATTATTATGTTGCTATTATTTTATTTATGTTCGTTCATCATATATTGTAATAGTATATTGGATTGCCATCTTGATTGCATTCATATGTCAACAATAAATGTCTTTATCTGTGATTCTCGCCTATAATTTATAACAACTTCAATGTCATTTATATTATTATTACTAACATTATTTTCCTTATCATGTTTTAATCATTAACTTCAATATATTTTATATGTAGCTGTCGGTGTATTTTTTTTCCATTTTTGTTTTTCTTTCAATCACATTTTTTAGCAGGATTTGTCTGATCCTAACCTATATGATCAAATATATATCGTCATTATTACTACTGTTATCATTATTGTTGTTATTATTGTATATTTGTTGTTGTTGTTATCATATTATTATCATCATCATCATCATCATCATCATTATTATTATTAATATAAGTATTATAATGAGTATTGTTTTTCTTATCATAATTATCATTATTATTATTTATCATTATTTACAATTATCATCGTTATATTTCAAAATTATTTTCATATCCATCATTATTATCATCATCATTATTACTATTATCATTATCATTATCTCATGTTTTGCCACAGCTAAAGACACAGCCCAAAGGGGGGGGGGGTCTGAAGGAGGGGAGGGATTATTTTTCCCTATCATAATATATATATATATATATATATATATATATATATATATATATATATATCCTTAATACCTATGATGCTTCTTATTTTCCATAAGACTCGCCCACACCCTCCAATGGCGGGCGTGGTTTTTGGAGCCTGCCTGACCTCCGTCTCTGTGAACTCGGCTTCTTGAAGGATGAATTGGCGGATAACATTTCAAGAATCCATCGACCGGTTAGCAATGAGTACTTGCGTAATGGCACGCTTCATAAATAACGTGTTTACATGTCTTAAGCACTGTCCATTGCCCCGACACAGCGATGCGGGCGAGAGTTATGCGAACTCACCGACAATTAAAATGTGTTTGCCGTGTAATCATACACCGCGTTGGTAACATTCTTAACGACGCTAAAGAGGTAATGGTGGTGTTTCTCTCGCTCATAGATTATGCTTTTCGATACCTTGCATAACAAAACTCGAGTCCACCGTGCCCACCGACCACTGTGTACTGTATTTGATCATATATGCGTTCGTTACCATAATGATATGAGGCATACTCGGGAGATATATGAACCAGGGCATATTATACGTCTGGACAGGTGGCAGTAAGTTACGACGCTGGGAGGGTACGATCAGCGCCGCTGCAGCACGACGCCAGGGCTGCTTACGTCACGTTTACGAGCCACCACAATCTTAACGAGGTATTGAATTCACGTTGGTGCACAACAATTTAAAATGGCGTCGACGTGCACATGAATCTTATGCTGTAGCTTAGGCACCATTTATAAAAGAACCTGAGAAGCGACAAGAGCCGTTAAATCCAACTCTGTTGCGCCATATTATTGATTTTTCGCTCTTTCGCTAAATATTCCATTCGTGAAATGAGTATTGACGGGGCTGAGTTGCGACGCGGCGGCTCATAAACCAGTCGTATTTGAGATTCCGACTTGTGGCACTGCCTCACCTCACTCAATTTCCATACACTGACGCCACGGAGGCAGATAATTCCCCTCTGGCAAAATGGAGGGCCCGGCGGACGTGGAAGAAGTGAGCCTCCAAAAGCGGCACCGCTCTCGCAACTTCACCAAGTACGAGAAGGAAGTCTTCTACACCGTGTTCAGTCAGTACGCCAGCATCATCAACGATAAGGCGACTTCGACAGACACCATCAGGTAGGGCTCCTGATTGCAACACGTTCTTCACGCCACGGAGCAAGCCTGGGAGCAAGCCTGGACAAGGAGGATATCAATCCCTAATATGCTTGATGGAAATATATGCTATAATTAATTTGAGGGGAAAACATGACATATCTCACACGAATAAGCAACAAAATTAAAATTCCTGATTATTTTATTTAGCCTGAACAAGTAGGATGATATCAATCCCTAATATGCCTGATGGAAATATATGCTATAATTAATCTTAGGAAAAAAAAACATGGCATATCTCACACAAATAGGCTACGATATTAAAATTCCTGGTTATTTCAC